TTATTTGTGTCATAGGATTTCTTATCACAGTAATATAGTAAAGCATATTGAACATTTCTTGAATATAAAATTCTCTACAGTATTTGCAGACTTATAGGGTGTTCAGTTACTAAATGTAGATGGTGTGGGGCTATATACAATGAAAATAATGCATTTCTCTTCCTTTCCTCCTTTAAACTTCTGTCCTTCCTCTCTGCTATGCACAACTCCCCCAAAACCCAACTCTGTTAATTGTTTGATGGTTTTGGGCTTCTTGACTGACTTTTGATTGCGTGTTCATTCTGCCTTCAGTGAAAACAGACTTGACTGCATTAAAAGCAGATAATTTTGGAAAGACCGATCATGTTTGTATCTCTATGTTAGAAGGAAAGAAATAATTCTTAAGCAGTATGGGTGTTTTCTAGAAGTAAAATTTGATTGTGGCTCTGTCCTTGCTGGAAGAGTTCTTGGATGCTTGTTCTCCAGGTCATGGATGAACATACACAGTTCATTCAATGCCATGTGCACACCCTCAGACTCATTTATTTTATTTAACAGAACAGGTCTACCGATGTGATACGAAGTTTCTTTGAAGTGGTGCTCATCTTTTGGCACAAGTTGTCCTTCTGTATTTATTTAATTATTTTCAGTATCACTTTGAAACTGTCTTTCTGTTTATTTGTTTGTTAATTATGTTTTCTGCTACTGATGTAAGCTACTGATAGCAGCTTACAAGTCCCTGAGAGAGCAGGAGTGACATGACCTGTCACTGGATGCCTTGTTTAATCATGCCAATTTTTAATATGCAGTCTTTGATCACTTTCATGATTCATCTAGCATTTTTTATAGAAAAGTAATTCTGATTCAACAGATCTCCAGCTGTCTTTAATTTTAATTCCATTATCAGACTGAAATAGTTATTTGTCTGGAAAATGTTTATTCTCTTTAACATAGTTATGAAATTATAGCTCTTGTATTAAAAAACAAAACCACAACCAACAAGAACAACAAACACAAAAAACCAGCCCAAACCAGCAAATAAACCCTCAAAAACAAAATCCAAAAACCCAAATCCTGTCTTTTAATGATATTTCTAATTGTATTTGTAACTTTTCAAGTAATCTCCTTAGATGTAGTTTATATCCAGAATTTAACTCCAAGTAGACTTAGAAGACATTTAGTCCCGCTTTTCTTGGGGTTCACAGTATTTAAGGGCTGTTTTCCAGCTACTCTCATCCAACCACAGGGAAATGATTCTGTGAACTTGATTGGATAGTGGATTTTAGAGCACTTTTCAGGCTTCTTTGGTTGCATCTCTAGGTAGACCTATCCCTGGCCCTGGGTCTGTCTATTGCCTTGGACCTACGAGTTGTTCCACATATTTTTAGTGATAAACATACAGATTTCTGTGCTTGATGTGGTATAACATCACCCAATGAAGAGAGAAGGATGAAGAAAACAACGTGACAAAGGAATTTGCAAAATACGGTGCGCAAGAAGCACCATAGTAAACAGAACAGAGAAATCTCATGGGGGCTTAGAGGTTAAAAAAAAATATTTGAATGATACAGCTACTAAGTAGCATGTCAGAACCATACAAAAGTTTGCAACCTAAGAAGAGGAGATAAAGTAGATGGGGAATACTGGTATTTGGGAATCACAGTCTATTGTTGTGATCTTTGCAAAAACAGAGAGAGAGAAAAGTGCAAATGGCAAGAGCATGGATAGCTGGGCCAGTAAAACATGGAACAGAGCAGGCATGGCAGACTTGATAGGACAAAAGTAAAGTAGTGGAGGTGAGAGAAGGGATGTCCATGGAGGAATGAGCATGCCACAGAGGAAACTGCATGGCTGCTATGGCAAATTGGGAAAAGGACTCTTCCTTGGGACATCTGGAAGGGCGTGGACTCTCATTTGAACTTGGAAATGAAAGGAAAGTACAAGAGCTCAAACACTGAATGTATACAAAAATACAGCCTGGAGATAAACAAAAATCTCCATAGAGACAGTAAGGAACGCTTCAAATCCTGAAGATCTCTAACATCAGTAAAGAAGGTCTTTATAAATGACTTTGAATAAATTGTGTGTGAATAGTATAATTATAGAAAAATTAGATGATCAGTGGGACTTTGAGTAGTCTGCAGAATGCGGAGAGAGAAAGCAGGAGGGCCAGCAAGAAGGCAATTGCAGTAGTCCAAGCGTGAAATCATAAAAGAATAAATGCTTTGCTTATAGAATCTGCTGAGGTTACAGCCTGGGGTTGTATCTGTGTCCATGAATTAGATAAAGCAATAAAAACTTGCATTCCCTCCATCAAGGTATTTCTTTTTTTTCTCAGATGTCCTTTCTAGTTAACTCTTCAGTGACAGTAAGTTCTGTCTAGCAATATTGGCTGACATCTCCTCTTCATGTGCTTCCCATCTGTTCTACCCAGTGGGTAGTTGGGATGAAGGGTTGGATTTGCACACTGACAACTCATCCCCTGTATTTGTCAATCAATTTCTTCTTCTTCTTTTTAAATTCATCTTTTGGTATAGGAATAGTACAAGATTGACATGACTATTTAGCTTTGTTTTAGCTTGATTTTCAGCAGTCTGTGTCATCCAGGAGTTTGAAACATAAGTTTAAGAATTGGGCATGAAATTTGCAGTTTTTCTTAGATTGTCAATTACTTTTACCAGAGGATTATGTCAGAAAATGCTGGGCAGGATTGTTGCAAGGTAGTATAACTGAAGGACTGCTTTGCTTCTTGAAGGAAAAGAAATCACTGTGAAAGGAAAATAGCTGTAAGGCTGAAATGGAAATCTGAAGTGTAAATTCTGAATGGAAGGAACAAAGTTCAAGGCAGTGCAAGGGCAATTTCACTTGCTAAAACCAGGATCTGTTAAGGTCTTGCCTCAGCAAAGCTGGCATCCAGCAGTCTGAGCAGACAAACTTCTCTGTTGGTAAGTAACTGGCAAGAGAAAAGTGAACTCTCATTTGATGCAGTAAACTTCTGCAGTCCAACCCCTCCTTTCTTCACCTAACCCCTACAGTCTGCCCAAAATGAATCTTCCTGTCCTTGTGCACTACACATTTTGGCTCTTTGCACCTTGCTTCTGATGGCTTGGCTGCTCCTACCCCACCCTGGCAGAGGAGACCCACAGCTGTGCCTGTCCCCCAGCTCTCACCTCTGCCACCATGAGCCACCTTTGCAACCACTGCCACCCCTGGAGTTTTGCATTTGTCTGTGGCACTGCATAAATGTTTTATTATAATAATGTAGATAATAGTTTTGCTGAAAGCTCCTGGCTTCACAGGTGGTTAAGGGTTTTCTAGAGGTTTTCACACAAAACCCCTCAACTCTTTCTTTATTCTTTTTGATTCTGCTTCATTTCCATCCTTATTATCAGACAGTCATGGGAACTTTCCTTACACTGCAAAAGAAGAAGTGAATTTAGTATAGAATGTGGTGTGTTGTAGTGTGGGCTACCAAGCTTCATGTTGTCCTAGTTTAAGACAGGGGATGAAATATTCTGTACATTTAAGAGGCTTTTAAAAGAACCTTTTGGGAGCAGTTGCTGTGTTTTGCTGGCAATTCTACCAGACTTTCTGCTTCTGAGTAATTTTTGAGTACAAGAAAAAAGAGAACTACTCATGGGATGCTAAACAAAAATCTACTTTAGTACATAGTTCAACATGAAAGTCTTTAAAAACAGCATTGAGCTGTCATTGATAGAAAACTTCACTTACATTCTTTTGTGTTGAGATGTGTCACACATGCAAAAGTACTTTAAATTTAATTACATTATTAGTGTTTAATAACCATCTTCTGTTCTTATTAAAAATCTTTCCATTGTATTATTTTACTTCTATTCATTTATTTTTTTTTAATCGAAGTGCCTCAGTCACATCATGCATGTTTCCTAAAGTGTGACTGCCACGCTTTGGTGAGTATTCAGTGTTGCTCTGTTACTCACATTTTCTTCAGTCTTACTGGATTCTTAAGAATTTGTTTTGTTTCTCTCTTAGAATTCTACAAAGTAGTTTTCTTGCTTTATTTTTTTAAAGCAAATTCATCCCAAACTCATATTCTCTTGACATTCTGGTAGCTTTATTTAATATTCACTCCATTGCCTTAGTATTTTTCCAGTAATAAGGTGACCAGAACTGGATACAGTATCCCAGTTAAGTACAAAGGTCATAAAGAGTTTACAAGCTTTCAGTTTCTGTGACTAGATGTTATTTCTTACGTCCTCCCAACATCTGCCCTTATGCTGCCATATTCTGTTGCAAACTCACATCCTTTTATTCTGTTTGCTAAGCTTAGTACAGTGTTGCTACTTCCTGATTTATTTCTTCTGTTTAATATTAGTGTTAAATTATTTTATCCAGCTGTGCATTTTTTTGTATGAGATGTTTGGAGTGAAGAAGCTGGAAAAACTGAAAGCAAGCTGTTGTAAAATCCATGCCTGAAATTCTTGGGTAATGAATGCAGAATATTGACTCTCATGTTATTACTGTTGAATATTTAAGTGGTTTTATATACATAGACAGATAAATTACTGTTGCATACTATATATAATACACATGAGCTGTGTGCATGATATGCACTACTTCCTGTGTCTAACTGTTGTAAATTATATCTGATCCTCTTTGTATTATGCTATTTTTTATCTAGTTCTTATTTCTCTAGATACCTGAGGATTATTTGATAGATTAACTGTGTTTATGTTATTTCAGTCATTCACTTCTTTTTTTCCTTTTCTTTTTTTTCCTTCTTTTCAAGAAGTCATTTCCCACTTAAAGCAGATCTCAACTTTTGCACATTCACAGTTCTGGTCTTTACTAGGCTGTTTTGCACTGCAGTCAAAAGGCAGTGAGGAACTACCTTGGAGCAGTGGGATATAGCATGTTAATTAGTATTGTATTAGGAGATTATTGTTATTAAATGTTCAGATGTTTCCCTTCTCCTGCCTGTTATTGTTTGTAAAATAGAAATTATGGAAAAATTAGTACTTTTGTATCTTATTTTCCTACAGGATTTACAAATAATCAGTACAGATGAAAACCAAGTTTTTGTGGCTGTTCAGGAGTGGTACCAGACAGACACATACAACCTGTACCAGTCTGACCCACAAGGTGTTTACTACTCTATCCTGCTGGAGAACGTCCGGAGCACGAAGCAGCCAGAAGAGAATGTCCTGATAGATATCCTGGAGGTAGATCTTTACCTCTTCCCTTGTGTGTAGTCTATCTGAAGGAGTTTTTTATTAATATTTTGATTATGATTATAATTAATTTTCACAGTTATATTTAATGTAAAAAGTCTAGGATTTTGGGATTTTTTTCTTATTGTTAATACATCATTGCTACTTACATGTTTCCCTCTTAAACTACTGATGTGCTGTGTACTCTAAGAACTAGATTCTTGGAATGAGATTCCATAGATGTGCAAGTCCAAATTGATTTTTTTTTAAGATATTGAAAAGTGAAGACAGCAGCACAATTTATTATTGAAGTCAGAAGTTATGCAGCTGCCTGTGTACACCTTTTTTTCTTTTAGGTGACTCAGTGATGCATTGCCTGGTTTAGAGCAGGACATCTTTTAGCCAGTAAGGTTTCACAGTAATCCTGTGAGCCTTGTGCTAGGTTGTGTCAGCTCTAAAAGGCAAAGAACCAACAAAATTAGATATTGGGCAGCAAATCCACTTGCTTTCAGTAGGTGTCTTGTGCCAGCATTTTCTGTGAGACAAACTCTTCTGTAAACAAATTTATCTTGCATTTTAACATCAGTGCACTTGGCAAAAATAAGAGACTAAAGAATATAGTGTTTTGGAAGAGTACCAAAGACTGTTATCAACTCCATTCCTGCTGATAGAATGGAATTTCAGTGTAACGTATTTCCCTGTAATAGGGTGTACATTTGCTCCGGTTCTGTTCTTTTGTGTAGCACATAGTACTGGCTGTTATCAGAATATTAAACTAGTGCAGCTTTGGTCTCACCCAGTTTGTCCCTCATTACACTTTAATCTGCCTGGTGTTAATATAAAACCAAACCAAACCAAACAAAAAAAAGAACAACCGAAGTTTTTTGGCAAAAGTTTGTAGTAATTCTGGATACAAGGCACACACTGACATAGCTGCTAAATAGCTGTAATTAGACTCTTCTTGGTGAGGGAAAATGATAGTGATTTTTTTCCTCCTTATCTCCTCCATCTTTCTTTCACTTTTTTTTTTCTAAATATCTGTAGTAAAACTAACAGGTTTCTCATTATCAGTGATTATTTTCTAGGCTCTACCTTTTTTAGAAATGAGGCTTCCTAATGAGTGAAGCTACACATGGTGTGTAGCCACATTCCCACAGAGTGATTTATTGACAGCATTAGTTTGCAGCCTTTTGCTCCTGCTCACTTCTGTGGGATGCAAAGCTAAAAGGCAGCCAGGTGCAATCTCTACTCCTTGCATCACCTGTAGCATGCAATTTCAGATAAGTTGTACAGAGATGCTACCCCTGGCTGCTCTTTTGTCTACAAAAGTTATTAACTTAATTCAGGTACACTGATTATTTCATAATTTCCAAATGTTACTGAAGGCATATTAGATAATGTGATCCTAGATTATTGTGTGTGCTGGATCAATTTGTAGGGCTACATTAAAAAGAAAATTTACACATGAGAAAGAGTAATTTAAGGAGCCACAGTGAAGCCACACAATTCAATTTTTTTGAGCTGTTTTTGAAATAGAGCTGCAGTATAGGAGAACACTTTTATTTGCTTATGGTAAGAAAGCCCACAGCTTCCAGATAGCTTGTATGATAAATAATTAGTGTTCATCTTGTTTACTAGAATGTGATCAAGTACTCATGATGTATGGGTTATTTACCCAGTATAAAATGGCTAATAAATAGAACACATATTGCAGTCCTTGAGGATGGGATATTTTTTGATCTAATCTGGGGTTTCTTTCTGGGCATTTTAATGCAAGTATCCCGTCTTGGGAAGAGGAATCTTCAGTGCAGAACAGAGACTGTCCTCAATGGCTGACAATTTCTTTCCACCAGTGTATAATTCTCCTTAAAATTTGCACTGTTCATCTTCGTTATCCTCTGCTGACCCCACTTCATCTTTTACTTGTACATCTGCTATAAAATCTTTAATAGGTATTAATTTTCTTTTATATGCTTTATCTTTTTTGCACCATATTTCTTTTCATGTTGCATGTGTGAAAGGGGAATAATTCCCAAATACTTAATCAAAAAAAAGTTAAGTATTAATTGACTGACCAAAAGGAGCACGCCCTTGAAATATGTGACTGTATACAAGGAACATGTCCTTGAAATTATATCTAGTGTTGCCAATGTGAACCAGCCACAAATTTGCAGAATGGGCATACTAATGTATACTTCTAGATTTGTTCTTGCTGTGACTCCTCATATAGATAAGAGCTACACAAATTGCAGTAGACATTCTTCATGCCTTTTTTCCCCAAACAACGAATTATATATATTTAAATTTTAATCACAAACATGTATTATATAGCAGTAATTTCTGCATTCAAGGGTCGGACTTGATGATCTCGGAGGTCCCTTCCAACCCAACTGATTCTATGATTTCAGTAACTGCTGCTAATAAACACTGTGGGGCCATCTGAACTGTTCTTCTTGCTACCAACTAGTACAGAATATTGTTTGGCTGTAAAATCAGAAATGTAACAATCAGCGATTAATGTGTCACAGCAGAAAACCTGCTCAGAAAATTGGTTTATAAGGTGTAGAAAATAGGTGCTCTGAAAGTTGACCTAAAAGTCCAAAGAAAATCAATGGAAAGGTGCTTTTGAATTTCCTTGTGATTATCTGTCTTGAGTAGCTGCTGGAGTGTTCATCAGAGTAACTGAGCACTGCACAATGTTGAAATGTCTTCTTTTCCATACCATCTTATTGTTAATATGAATCTTTTCCCTTCTTCATAGGAAGATACTAATCTCCCAGTTTTAGATTAGGGAACTGAGTCAGGGAGTAGAAAGTACAGAAGAAATTGGGTGCATTTGGATCACAATCTAATGCAGAAGCATTTACAATATTTACAGAAAGAGTGAGGTGTGTATTTGCATAGGCCACAGAACAAATGAAATAGAAAATGCTACAGCAGAAGTGAGGTGTTTTAAAGCTGCCATTTTTTACATGCTATAATTTTATATTAGTTATTGGTTTTTAGGCTAATGCACCACTCTGAACATTATACTTCTGAACTTACTCGGAAAATAGATGCCTGAAACCTATTTATTATTTCAAGCAGAGTTTTTGCCTTTCATTCAAAATACAACTGCTGTGAAGTGCTGGTCAGCTTTTATCTTTTAAAACAGCAGTGAGAGAAGTTAACTGAGACACTAGAAGAAATGTTTTCATAACCTTTCAATGTTTGATAGATTCAAACACTTCTGTCCCATATTCTAGAGAGGAGAAGTTACCCTAGAGCTTGGTTAGATTAGAGATGAGAGTGGGAATGGAGAAAAATTTTAGCCTGACTCCCATTTGATGATTACATTGAATGATTAAATATTCATTAAACAAGAATGAGGGGGAAAAAGAGAGAGAGGAAACAAAAATATTCATGATGCAGCACTGTTTTTGCCATCCACAAATGAAGAGAGAAACCTCAGCTGCAGTCCCTGACCTAATTATTGTTTAAATATTTAATATTGTGTTCACTGGAAGAAAGACACACATAGAAATTTTACCCCAAGTCTGCCTTCCCACGTAAATGTTTGAACTGCCAGGCTTTTCATGGCTGTGCTGTTTCTCAGAGGTAGGATATGTAAAAAAGCCCCAGCAAGATGAAAATGCTTTTAAATTAAGGAAAGCAGGTTTCTCGTTTCTTCCCTTCCTTTCCTTTTTCACCTGCACTGCTAAGTAGTTGACTTTTATGGTGTGTTTGACTTGGAGGTAGCTCTGAGCTTCCAGCATCCTGGATAAGTAAGCCAACCACACATGCATGGGGTTTAAGGAAGAAGGAGATCATGAGAGAGCAGGGTATTAAAATGACTATGCAAAATTTTGTTGTATAAACTTAAATATTTCTCCAAGTTCTAAGCTGTTACAGTAACCAGCAGAATATTTTTATTCTCTGTAGGTTTGGGTCAGTTCCAATATTTATAAAAAGTGAGTCTCAAATCTGTAGCCTAATAGTAGGGATGCCTTATCTTCACCCTGAATGTAGACTTCTGTTAAGTGGAGTTAATAACTGGTAGTTGGAAAAAAAGAGAACAGTAAATATTTCAAATAAAAAATTAAAGTTCAAGAATGCATCATGTCATCAGGAGACAAATATTCCTGATCATTCAAAGAGCTGACTATCTTGTGCATTTATTTGTAATGAATGCTTTGATTTTGTTAAGTGGCAGCACCCAAGGAGATTAGCAAGCTCTACTGTGCTGGAAATGGTATATGAATTGATATACATTTCCAGAATTTTTTAAAAATTCAAGAGATCTAATAAGTAATCACAAGGGAAATAAGAGCACTCTTAAGGAAATCTTCAATTTTAATACAAGATCTTATCTCATGCCCTTGGGTGGAATATATGTTAATATGTTAATAAAATAAATGTTAGGGCTAGAACTAAACATATTAAGGTGCAATTACTGTCAGGTTGATTCTAAAAATTATCCCCATTAACTTTGACACTTTGAGTTGTAATAATTTTCTGATACAAGCTGTTTTGAAATAAAATAACAACCCAAGGGAAGAGTGAGTCTGTAAACCTTTTTTTTTTTTAACTTTTTTTTTAATTCAGTATTATTTTAAAGGCTATTTTGTTGTTGTAACCTATTTGTGTGCTATTCACATGATGTGGGTCACAGAACTTCAGTGTTAAAGTCAGGTGTCTGTTAAAAATTGCTTACATCATTTGTAGAATAGCATTTTAGAGATGTCCATATTTAAAAAAATGCAGAGCTGTAATTTTAACAGTAAGGCCATGGTATAGTAATTTTTGTATTTTGCTTTATAAACTACATGTAATTTGATTAGCCTTCTGACACTGAGAGAATTGCATATACTTTTTAAATAGACTTAGAAATACAAATCAGTTTGTAACTGTCCTCCCCGTCCCCCTTTCTCCCTTTCCTCTTGTCTTTTTGCCTTCCTTCTATATTTTTAAGGTATCATTAGCTTTCAATTCAGTTTCCAGGTGAAAGTACCTGAGATACAGCTCAGAGCCACAAAAGAGCAGCTAATCAGGGATAATCCTTGTTGAAAAAATGTGTATGTGCTGGATATTAACTTCTCTCCTGTATGCTTCAGGTCAGAGGTGTAAAAGGAGTTTTTCTGGCCAACCAGAAAATTAATGGGAAAGTTACAACTCTGATAACCTACAACAAAGGCCGTGACTGGGATTTTCTAAACCCTCCAGACATTGATATGAATGGCAAACCAACAAACTGCAAACCTGTAAGTGGTTCTTTTTTGTTTATCCTCTCTATAAAGTGCACAAGAATTATCTGTATGTGCAATAGTTCCAACAGCCCAAGAGCTTTATGCTGAGTTTACCAGCCAAACTAGAAGACAAATCTACTTGTATTGCATGAGCTATGGTTTCACAGGCTATTAGTCCAGTCATCTTGTAGAGTGAGTAGTCAGGGCTCTCTGCTGCACTGTATTTCGTATTTTAGGTCACTTTGACACAAAGAGGACTTTTTCTTTTGTGTCAACCACACAACCCAGTTCAGAATAATCATGACAATAGTCATTTGTGTCTGGATATAAGGGTCATATAATGAGTTAAATAGAGTTTATCAATAATTTTTCTCTTTTCATCTTTCATATTTTTTTCATATTAAATCAAGGTTCCCTGTTAAAGGGAACTTCTTACAGTTGCTTGAAAATAAATACCACAATAACCTGCACGAAAAAGTCCTTTCTTTTTGTAAGACAATATTATTTCTGTTTGTTTAGATGTCCCAGCTACTATAGTGTTTTGTTATTTGCAAAACTATACTGAAAACCTTGTATTTGACTTCTGCTGAGTACTAAAGCTCTGCATTAGCAAAATAAACTTTGTGCCAGAGCTTTGTTCCCTCTCCACATAGCAGAAATGGAAGGCTGGAGCTGCCGGTTCCTATTTGAAGAGTTCAAGACTGTGCTACAAGGTTCAGGTCTGCAGGGCTTGATCCAGATCATTTTGAGATGAGTGGAAAGGTTGCAGTGGCAGTGGTTCCCAGGCGATGCTGGCAGCCCACTCCTGGTAAAGCTCATGGCTGGAATTGCTGTGAACAATATGACCCTTGAGTACCACTGCACAAAGGGCAAGAAACAGTAAGTTGCTTAGGAAGGAGAGATGATGTGTCCAAAAGTCGTTAAGCTATTTTTCATACCACTTTTTTACTAAAAAAGACATTTTCAGTCCAAGCAGTTGTTTTTAAACATCATTTTACCGGTTACCTGGGACCAACAAACATGCAGTATTTGTTGCTGTTAGTTAGTTAGCATTTTTAAGCAATTATTCTGTCAGAAGGGGGTTTTATACAATAATTTCACACTGACTTCTTCGAATATGGAAATCTTTTTGTTGAAACAATGGCACACTACACAGACATCATCAGAGATTCTTGTTAGAAAGTGAAGGTTGATATTTCAGACTGGAATTTGGCACCACGGGAAACAGCCATTCTTTTTCTCTGTGAAGACAAACATTGCTGAAGCTGCTCTCTCTCTGGGCTTTCATTGTTGTAGGAGCATGAATGTTAGCTATTATTTGTAAAACTTGTTGTCTTTTTCTTCCCTCAAAAGCCTGATTGCTACCTTCACCTCCATCTCCGGTGGGCAGACAATCCCTATGTGTCGGGAACAGTCCACACGAAGGACACTGCACCAGGGCTCATAATGGGGGCAGGTAACTACATGACATTATGTTTTAGGACCTAAAATGTGGTGGTGGCTCTTTGTAGAACTTTGGTTTATAAGAATATGGTGCTATGAACGTTGCCAAAATAAGGCTTTCCTGCAGAATAATCTTTTAGGGAATCTCTTGATCGAACAGTTAAATAAAACTTAATTGAAGGCCCAGAACTGTATCTTTTTAGGCAGATCTGTAACAAGTTCCTGGATACATTATGCTTTGCTGTGCTGTGTAGTACCTCCTTCCCTATTAATGCAGTGTGGAGGTGTGATGGTGGCTGAAGGACATATCCTGAATTCTTTTTCTCTGGAAGTGACATGCAGGGCCTCCAGCATCATGAATTGCCCAGCAAAACTGATGCAAATGCTGGCCAAGCCTTTGTTTTTAAGCCTAGATACAGATAATTTGTCTTGTAATTTTTATTAGTTCCTTTCTGTCTAAAGAGAGATAAATTGAAAGAGACCTATGTGTCTCTGTGTTGGGAACAATGCTGGTTGTGGTTTCTGCATTATAACATCCATATGGAGCCATGTCACTCTGAAGTGGCATTTAGTGAAATAAATTCCATTGCAGTGTTGAGCTCATCAAGAAAAGTATTCTCATAACTCTGTTTTACTTTGTATCCTTGTGATCCATCTATTAATTTTATTTAATCTTCTGTTTCTTTGTTTCAAAATTATCAAATCGTTAACTGTTCTAAGTTCTTTTTTAAATTGTATTATTTTATTCTTGTATTATGGATTATGTTTAGGTGGAATGCCACATTCTCTTTTCATAAAAATATATCTGTTTTTAATGAATAATGGCTTCTGGTTTAGCTTACACTTGTCTATTATGAAGAGTTTATTAAATTGAAAATTTCCTGAGAATATCAAGGTGAGCATATTTGGTGTTTAAAGAGAATGACAGCTGCCAGTACTTCCATGTAACTGAAGATTTCAAGTTTCTCCCTAGTGAAAAGGGAGTTTAAAGTATTTTACTGGACACAGACCTACCTGGTGAAATGCTGCTATGTTTTTATTGATACAAATGAGACTAAGAATTTATACAGTGCCCTTGTAGATAGATTTCTAATATGTGTTCAGTTCACATTTTATGAATTCAAATGTTTCAAAAAATAACATCCATTTCAGATGTCTTCTTTTTACATAAAGATACTCCAAAAGTAGGTTCTTAATTTTAGCCCCATCATATTGTGCCTAAATACTTTCCAGTAGCAAATAAGGCAATGAGATTTAATTAATTAGTCTGTTACTCCTATTTTGTTTTTCTTTCTTCTTGCACTGTAATCTGATGTGTTGAACTGATCTTTTGATGGGGATTTGTAGAGGTTTTTTAAGTCCACTCTTCTCTGAGACAGTATTAGAGAGGGCAGGTTGTAGAAGCATATTTTGCCCTTAACTCCTTTCTAGAATGGGGTGAGATTTTTTCACTGTCTGTCTCTTACTGTGCCAGGTAGGTAAACTTGTCAACAGTTTTCCTCCACGTAATCATGAGGGATTGTTTTTGATAACATCCAAATATCATTAGGAACTGAACTAACATTTAAATCTGACTTGGTTGCAAAGCAACCTATAGTGTAATGGGAATAGCATAGCAGCTGGCTAAAAACCTGGGATGGATGGAGTGAAACTGGGAAACATTTACCTGAGAGTAGTGCATCCTTTTTCTCGTAGGTCATGTAACTGCAAACAGAGAGAAGGTTTTGTAGCCTTAAAAATTTTATAGAGCAACTGCATCCCCTTACCAACAGATGACCTGAATCAATTCTGATTTTGACTTGCATTTACATTATTTGGATGCTCAGGTCATCTGGATTCAGTGCATATGTTCAGTCTTACCTGGCAAACCTGATATTCTTGTAAACTTACACTTCTTATCAGAAATACTTTACATACAGTGACTGGAATTTCCTTTGGCCTGACCCTTGAAACTGAAAATCCTATGCAAATCAACACAAGTACTATGTTCTTAGCACATACAGAAATCAGATTATTTGGGCCACAACACATATTATTGGAATTTTGATGTTAGATTTAGAGAGAGCACATCTCTGGAAATGACTGAAGGTGATAAAGATCTGTGAATGTCTGCTGATCACACCATGTCTAGGAACCATCAGTGCCTTGTGCTGAAAAAAGGGAAATGTATTGTGAGGGTGATGTAGGTAAATAATTGCCAACAGAGAGATGAAAATACTAATACTCTGTCAAAATATCGTACAGTGACCTTATTAATAAGAATGTGTACAATTCTGATAATCAATTTTCAGGACCAGTGAGCAGGTGCTAAGAAGGCCTACTTGGCAGTTGATGGAAATAGAGAATATTTACAAGAACCTCATTAGCTGAGACAATAAAGGACAATAAAGAATATGGGTTTTTCTCCTGAAAGTGTAACCATGGGGTAAAAACAAGTAATGCAAACAAGTGGATACAAGCTAGAAATATGGATTCTAACCATGAGAACCATGAGGTTCATTGTCTCAATTATAGCAGTGTGGCTATCAATCAAAAATAAAAAAAAATTCCTTTAACATGGAGTTTGGCTTTTTTGTAGAAAACATATACAGCACAGCTGCTTGTGGTAATGGAAGAGCTAACCTGTGACTTAGGGACAGTTTTGATACTGTGCTTCAAAATCAGAGCTCAGAGACTACTGAATATTGTTTAATTAAAAAAAAATTAAATGGTGAACAGCATTAACACCTAGAGCGTTTGGGAAAATACAGTAATAGGATTTTAAAATTACATCTTTTTAAACTCATATTTACAAATAAAAATTCTACTCTATTAAAGTTGAATGAATAGTTCTCAGGAATGCATATTTTTAACTTATGTATATAGATAAATTGTGCAGACAGAATATTAAATTTTATAGCTGTATACAAAAGTGTTCTTTTAAATAACCACTTTGCTCTCTTTAAGAAATGTAATAGGAGTTTGCATTTACATTTGATTATGCATCTTAATATTGGCAACAGCTTCTACTTCTCACAGCATCAGCTATGAAATGTGTGTCAATTCATGTGCAAATTTTTACTATAAACTTGCAAAGGACTTTTCTATGAAAAATGTTTAGAGAAGGATAGCTTTTTCAGGTGCTAGTTTACAATAACTACTTGTTTAGCTTCCTATCCAGACGGCAAATCAAGCAAGGAGTAAATTCTGCACATTCACAGAAATTGAGGAAGTGTTAGAAAAGTTCTGTTTACTTTTTGTCGTGTCAGGCCCAAATACATTGCATACACTGTGATGAATTTCTATCATTTTTCACTAAAGTAGTATACTGGGATGCCTCTATAAAAAAGGATGAGGGAACAGGGAGATGATTGAGCATTTCCCAGTGCATTTTGTCGTGAATATCCTGCAATTCCTTTGAATTTTTCTCACATCAACATGTTCCTCAGTTCTGATTCCCCACTTCCTCAGCTGAACACATCTTCAGCTTGCCAGGCAAAAACTATCTGTCTGAGACATTTAAATACAAATTGATTGTATATTTGTTCTGCACTGTGACTACGAGCTTACAAACCATGAAATTTTAGCTTATTGTGCATTGCCTGAAGGGGTGTTATGACTGTATTAATTACCAATAGTCCAGGCAAGATACATGTCTCTTTTTGGAGTTGGTAGGTCTGCATGTATGCTAAATTTAAGTGACTGGAAAAGATTTTCCATATTAGAAGGATTATCTAAGTGTTGCATATGGGGATTATTTCTTCTCGCAGTAAGCATGTCTAAAGTCACATATAAAAATATGGATAAACACAGTAAGTAGCACTTAAAACATGCAAATTAATGATAAATTGTAAATGAAAGTAATCTGTATTTCACAGAATCACAGAATATGCTGAGCTGGAAGGGACCCACAAGGATCATTGAGTCCAACTCTGAACCCTGCACAGGACCATCCCCAAGAGTAACACCATGTGCTTGAGAGTATCATCCAAATGCTTCTTGAACTCTGTCAGTCTTGGTGCTGTGACCACTGCCCTGGGGAGCCTGTTCCAGTGCCCAAGCACCCCCTGGCTGAAGAACCTCTTTCTAATATCCAATCTAAATCTCTGCTGACACAACTTCAGGCCATTCCCTTGGGTCCTGTCACTGGACCCAGTAAGAACCTTCCAAAATGCCTGAGCAAAGATTTTTAATTACCCTCTTGAAATCTTTATGTTTTTCACAGCTATACCACCTTTCTAGAGAGCTTGGCTGGACATCAGTCATCACTAAAATACATTGCTTTCTTTCACATCCCTGTGCTAAACTGTCATGTGCAAAGTCTCAGACAGCTTGGAGTACTATGTTAAACAGTAGTTAATGCCTCTGTGTTCTGGTTTTTGGGACTGACACCCTTGCAAGGATGGAACGTGTGATTTTACCCAGTTACTTCAAATCAGCCTTTACTCAGGAGGAGTAAAAAGAAAAAGAGAATTTCCTGTATCCCAAAGGAAGGTTTGAAAAGATTTATAAGAATGCAAGTAACAGAAATGAAAAATGACCACCCTTAATAAAAAAACTCAAAAATGCAGGCCATTTCTTTTTGCTTCCTGAATAGAAGCAGCAAGGTGTCCGAGCATAGCAACAGCAGTCATACTGACTCAGCCCAAGAATCCATGTAACACAGTCTCGTGGCTGTGTTGGTGAGAAAAGCCTTTGGGGGAGTGTTTAAGGACAATTCAGGTGTAAATGGTCCCCTAGGCCTTGGTTTGGAGAAGACACACACATGAGAGTCTTCTTTCCTGCCCATGTCATTTAGTTACAAAAAGAATATAGTATGAGACAAACTTGAGAAAACTTCATGAAGCTGGATGGGAAACACTCTGTCATGTGTCAGAGGAGTTTTCAGGTCATTTAAATCAAAAGTGATGTTAAAAAGATACCTTTTATAGCTCTGACTAATACAGCCTTGTCATGGTTTAAGCCCAGCTGGTAACTAAGCACCACACAGGCTCACTCCCCCTCCAGTGGGATGTGGGGAAGAGACTGGAAAGG